AGGTAACGTCTCTGAAAACGTACGTCAATCTTAACTTTCACTTTGTAAGGTTGACCTTCCTTCATAAGCATTGCTGCCTTAGACGATACTAAACTGGRTAGGCGTCTTAGAACCGAATTGTTTACGTTTAGAACTCTCTTGTCCAAAGTTTTACCAAGGTCTTGTCCCGGATCAATCCTGTATCGAAACTTCATCTTAGGATAGGRATATCTGGGCCTTTTTAAGATTTCGCATCCGTTGGGTTCCCTATGAACAAACTCCCTGGTTTTTGTAAAGTGGACAATGACTGAGGTCTTTCTTCCAAATTTCAAAGGCTTAGCCTTAACGTCGCACTCCAATAGAACTAGCTCCATCGAATCTGGAAGAGGAGGAAGAGAGAGAGCAAAGTTGACGACCAGAGAAGCATAGGCCCACTCATTTTCATTCACAGCAATTCCAGCCTTCGAGTGGAATATGCTTGACCTTTATATGTAACACATAGAAAACAGTCCATTAGTTTCCTTTAATGGTGTTGACATTTATAAAATAAAAAATGGGAATTGTTTAATTAATTGTTATTTTACCTGTTGTCACCCAAAAAGTGGAACTTGACATCACCTTCAATGCATCCTAAGATCCCTTTCATTTTGCTTTCGGACTCTTCCCTGAAAAGTTAAAAACCAAATCTGTTATCATAAAAGTAATCATTAACGTATTTCGGATAGTATGAAAAGTCAAGATCAGCCTTGTATTACATGGGAGCATCTTTYCTTGGGGCAGCGATGATAACTTTCTTGGCACCAGCCTGAACAAAGAACCATATAAAGATTGAGAACCTATAAAACAAATAGCTAGAGCAATCCATAACGTATTTTACAAACCARCAAGTGAATTTTAGCCTTTTTCTTGCCAATTTTGCCAGTACACTCAATAACGTAGTCGACTCCAATCACTTCCCATGGGATACCTTCAGGTATGCTTCAGAAATAACATCACAAACAAAAAGTTATAAATCAATAACAGTAGAGAGAGACAAAAACATATAAAGAATTAATTAAATTAACATGTACTTCATGTGTAAAACATTGACGGGATTCCCATTGAAGAAAATTCTGGTATTTAAGTAATTTGCTTCAATAGTCTGCTCCTCCTGACCGTGACCATAGTCATTGTTAAAAGATTCTATCTGCAACAATCAAACACATATTCAACTAGAGTGTTAGTGACAAACCAAAATCGATTTTTGATTCCATGATAGGAAGAAACACGAACCATCTGCTCAATCTCCATGGAAGTGTCGTTAATGGCGACGAGCTCCACATCGTCCCTACAAATGATGGCCCTAGCGACCGAACGACCAGTTCTTCCGAAGCCGCTGATTCCAACCTTAATCTTCCTACCCATTTAAGCAAGTATCTGACACGAGAAATCAACAACAACAAAAAAAGCCGATGAGCTATATCAGCAAACATGTTCCTCTGTAGTTTCAAACCTCAGGCTCAGGGCAAAGAAATTAGATCTGGTAGGTGGCAAACGAAAGAGAGAAACATGATCAGGAAAATAAAACAACAGAACTAAAAGCACAAAAGCAACACCATACATGTTAAGCTGATTCGAAATTCAAACATAATAAAGATCCATGATTATCACAGAATTCAACATCCCATTGCAATAAAGTCAACAAGTTAAGTTGGTTCATGAGTACAGGAGAAGAAAATGAAACAGAGAAACAAATTACAGAGAGAGTTCACAAAGATGAAAGAGCCCAAAAACATTACACGAATCAGCTGGGGAAGAAAAAAATGCATAACAAGATGACGAACCTTTAGACCTATTAACTACGCAATTACTAATAAGCAAGCAAATCCAGTGATAACGAACCTGTAAAACCATCGAACAAGGCAACATCACAAATAGAACTATCTACCCAGAAATTGACTAAACCGAGACTGATCGAGATATAAACTCCAGCAAAGAAGGCGCAATACAGCAGTAAAAGCAAACCTGAAACCAATCGAGATGTCACTTGGAGAAAGAACGACGAGTACCTTCCAATGAATCCGACGTACAAAAGACGAACGAAGGTCGCCCGTTCTCCGATCTAACAAAAATACCAAACGGCTCTCAAATAGAAGAAGCCTCGATCGTCTGCGTGGAAGAAATTAGGGTTCAGGCGAGAAAGAGAGCAGAAGCGATTAGGTTCGGCATCGAATCAAATGTGAAGCAAAACGGATTTGGGAGGGATATGAAACCTGAAAACTACGAGCTCGATCTGAAACCGACGAAGAAAGGAGAAATCTCGCCGGAATCGGAAGCACGACAGTTGCAACTCGCCAGAGAAACGACAGACGAAGAATCGCCTCGACCTGCTTATATACGACTGACTATAGTTGCTCAAGTTACTTTTATAGGAAGATTTCATTTGTTGAATTTTTTTTTTTTTGGTGCATATGTTGAACTTTTTTTTTTTTGTCTTTAATTGTTTTCAGCATTTTTAATTTAGGAAAAATTGCATAAAAAAATCTTCAAAATAAAAACCACATGTATTTTAAACCTTAAGAATTTGTCACTCACACAATAAAATTTTATTGTAACGATTTTAACTAAGTAAATTTTCAAATTGTGTTTACTATATACACCGTCTATTCAGATGATAGAATAGTTCACTCCGTTAAACAAAACCGTTGTTTTCTCTTAAAATTTGTGACGTACCATTAAATTTGTTTAGTTAAAAAAAATATTTTTTAAATTATTTATTACTTATTGCATTTTTTTAATTT